ATGAGCTGAGCAGGCTGGGGCTACAGAGCTGATGCTCTCTGGAGAGAGGGGATGTCTAAGAAGATGGGGAGAATGAAGCTGCCCATGACAAGGGGTGCAATGGCCAAAGGGTGCCATGGCCAAGGGGTGCCCTGCAGCCAGCAAGGAGAGGTGGGAGCTGGAAGAATCCTTTTCCTGCTGACTTGGATGAAAACTGTAAAATATGCCTTCTGCCTGAAAGAAGCTGGACTGAGTGCAGATGCCCTGCTCTTCAGCACATCCCTGGGTATCAAATCAGCTCAGGCAGCAGAGGGGACAGGAGAGGTTGTCCTGCCTGGGGGGGGAACCAGTCGTGCAGACTGAGCCCGGTTCTGCACTGGTGCCATTAGCATCCCCGTGACAAAGCTGCACCAACCTCCCTGCCATGATACGGGCTTCACACAGCTGTAAATGACTCTGTCCCACAGACGCAGGAGCTGCCCAGGTAGCCAAGTCCTCCCATGCCTGGTGCAAGTTCCATCTCCCCGGAGCATCTTTCAGTGGCGTTGGTCCCTGTGGACAACAGGGCTGCAGCAGCTCCTTTCAGGAGAGCAGCTCCTGCTTTATGGTGCTGGGGCTCTGACCCTGGCAGCAGGGAATCAGGACCCCCATCAGACAGGCATCAGGGATGCTGAACAGGCCAGGAGAGCAAGTGCCAGATCACAGAGTGAATGTTCCTGCAAATGTCAACAAAATCATAGCTGTATTTTCATCTTTACCTATTTGACCTGTTAACTAACGGCAACATTGCTCAGTAATCCCCAGCAGATGAGCATCAAAGAGGAGACCTATGGTCCTAGCTAATCCCTTTATGATGAAGTAATGCTACAGAAACCAAATACCAGCAGTAAATCGGGAGATTAACAACAATCTGGGAAACACACAAATTAAATTGCATCCCCCCTCGCTGCTTTGCCCAAGCCAATGATTCTGTTTCTGCTCTGGCCACTGCAGCCCCCCAGCAGGAAAAACAAGATTAGAAATCACTTTATAAAAATGAGACCCGACTTTAATCCCTGCTGCAGCCAGCAAGCAGAGCCTCACCAGAACAGCCACCCTGTCTCCATGAGCCTTCTGCCCGCGAAGGGGGGAGTGTTTTGCTTTTCCAAATCCATAGGGATGCAAACGTGGAGATGCAGCCCTGCCCAGAAGAAGAGACGAGGGACAAGGCTGGCAGGACCAGGCAGCCTGCAGCAGGGCCAGGTCTGCAGGTGACCCCAGCAGTGTGGTTTGCTCCCTGACTCCGCTTCCATTGCGCAGTAGCCTCTGAATGAATATTTTATCCAGTCCCTGATGAACATCTCCACAAATGCACACGTTAATAAAACATGAGGATGCATTTTTGAAAGAGCCATCTAATGCTTCTAACAGCCCCGTCACAGCTTATTAACCAGAGCAAACGCTCTGCAGGTGTATTTTTATCTTGGGGACTTTTATGGAGTCCCAACACGTGAGGCAATGGGGAAGATGCTCACAGCCCAGTGTCCCCATATCCTGGCAGCTGGGCTCAGCAGCAGCCAAGGCTCTGAATTCTTCTTGGTGGGAAGGGGGAACGTGTGTGAACACTGGAGCCATTCACTTCACCCCCCTGCAGCCCCCTCTGTCAAGCAGGAACATATCTACTCAGGAGCATGCCAGAGAGAAAGGAAAACCTAAAGAGTTTCTTAGTGAAAGCTGCTGGCAACATACAGAAGTACTGAGCTAAAGAAGAATAGAGAACACACATGTGCCACTTTCCACTATTTGAATCACACTCCCTGGGCAAGAGCTGCTTCTCTGAGAAGCCAGCTTTGGTGTTCTGCATTCCTAAGAACAGCATGGGAGCTGAGTGGTGATTTTTTTCCCATAGCTGAGGTAATTCTAGGGAAAGTTTTGCTGCTTCTGGGAAAGAGAAACTCTTGTCTTGTCCTTGTTTGAATTCATTGTAAAAGCAGCAATAAACCAAGTGGCCAGAGAGGAGCAAGCTGAGAGACAGCAGTAGGATGGAGGTGGCAGAGGTTACCTCTGCCTCTTCCTGCTACAGGGGAAAGGAGCCAATTAAGTCTGAGAGGAGGAAACATAAAGCCAGGGAAAGGAAACGTTCCTCCAGCCCTAAAGTGGGCTGTTCAACTCACCAGTGCAAGGGGCCTCTGAAGGCAAGATGCCAGCGTGATGATGAGGAGCAGCGCTGGCAGGAGGCACAAAGGGCGGTGAGAGAAAGCAGCACTGAGGACCTGGCTCTTGAAGACATCAGCTTCTTCCCTGGTGACACACAGTGCAGGTGTGTGCACATCCCTCCTGGCTCGGACCAGGTGAGGTCCCCGCCAGCAGCATCCCTCAGCAAGCTCCTGCTAGAGAACTCCTTTACGTTACTGCTGACAGGTAGCGCTGATTTATAAAGCAGAAATCAATGAGCCTGCTCTGCAATTTGGCCCGATTTTGTCTCCCATTTCAATTTGCCATCTTTCAGCATAATACAGGGTGGTTAATTATGTTTCAGTTTATTTCCCAGATAACACCCCCCCCCCCCCCTTGTAGTGCACATCATAGCCACTCAAAAGGTTTCATTTTACCTTTCATTTCACCTCCTAGCACAGCATTAAATTTAGTCAGCTTGTAATTTGGGGGTATTTTATACATTATGCCTTTATTATTGTGAAGTAAAATGGAATCCTTGTCTTTTCATTCACTCTTGAATAATTCTCCACCAAACCTTAGTACAAAAGGCTCCCCCCCCCCCAAAGACTAATTGAATGGGGTGTAATTATAATACCCAGGGAGATGATGTTGAAAGTACCTTAACTGTGACAGTTTCTTCTAATTGCCCCTTCAGTAACTACCAAATCTTGGCTGTTCAAGCTCCATATCGGATGCTGTACTGATGAGCCAAGGGCAAGCTTAGGGGGATTTTGGCATGGTGCTGCTCCAGGCCCACAGTCTTGAGGTCTCTGAGCCTCCTTAAGGCTCCTTGGGCCTGCAGGGACCAGCAACATAGCCCCAGGTGAAAACAGGGGGTCTGAGGCAGCATTGTCCCACTGAGAGAGCAAAGACACAAAGCATCATGCAGTCCTTGCCACAGGGGCAGGCATTGGCAGCCACAAGCACAAGGATGTTCCCATCTCCATCACCCTCTTCCTTGGCTTAATGCTCCTGCTGGAAACGTTTTCTGCCTGTTTGGCCAAAGGAAAGCCTTGAAAATACAGAAAGAGAGTGCAAGGGAAGAGTGCTGGGAGCTGGGGCAGGAGCATCCTTCCCTGGTTGCTCCCAGGAGGCAGGAGATAAAGGCAGCACTACCGCAGGCTACAGCACTTGCCTCTGAGAAGCATTTACCCGCTGGGGAGGAGCAGTGATTTTCTACATTTGTGTACTCTGATAGCATGGTAGCAGTGTACAACAGGCAGGGTCAGCACGCAGCAGAGACACCAAGGGGCTATTTCCTCACTAAACCATGTACATGAAAAATCAGTGTTAAGAGTGGCTATTATGCAGACAATAGAGTGTTTTTATACCAGTGTCGGTGTCAAGCTCTACACTTCTGCCGAGGGGATCCTTCGCATTACGACTGCAAATACGCTTAGCCAAGCAGGATTCTCCCAGCAGCAGCACAGTGTTTGTTATCAGGAATAAGGCTTCCACTCTGCATTTTATAGCTGGGGCTCTTTGGGATGGATGGCACAAACAGAGACTGGTCCTGGGGAGAGGTAGCATCTGCTGGGACATCGCATTACAGCCGTAGGAACCAGTGCGCAGAGGAAAAGGGACAGGATAGGGGAAGCTCTCAGCAAAGCATCCTGGAGACATTAATGCACACGAACTGCTGTAGGACCGCTATGAGCTAATTAGCCTTTGCTTGTCAGAACAGGCCTTCAGCTCTCCTCCAGAGCCAGCTCTCCCTCAAGCACATAGGCTGCAGTCGATATCGGAGGGGAAGAAGGTGTTTAACCAGAGCTCACTTGCTGCCAGCCCTGCCATTGCCTGCGCTAACAGGGATCAGGTCTGGAGGGGGTAAATCCTTCACGCTGTGATCATCACTGTAAAGGAGCTGTTTGTTCCAGCCCAGCAGCCCTGGCCCTCGCTCCACACCCTGGCCTGGATTGAGACACAAGTTGTCCCGTCCTGTCCCCCTCCTCTCAAGCGCTGCCCACCTTCAGGACAAGTCCTGCCTTTCCTCTCTGGAAGGGCACATCCTCTGTTTATCAGCGCTGAGGAATCTCTTGCCAACTGCTCTGAATTTGTTAGTATTTTTCCTCCCTGGGTTTGCTGTTTTGAACTGATAAGATCTCCCACCAGATACGGCTCTGCATCAGGAGAGGTGCAGAAAGCTGATGCTGGATTTATCTGTATCTTTAGTCCATCTCAGTCTGTTTTCCCCAGGGAAGGAGGCTCCTGCCATGCGTTCCTTCTCCTGATAACTTGTGGCCCAGGCTCCTTTGATGGAGAGCTTGATGGCCCCACGCACATGGGCAGCAGCCAGCTCCTCTGTGAGGATTTGCCCTCTGCTGCTCCTCAAACCATTCCAGCCAGTGCAATGGGTAATAACCCAAAAATGGATCCGAACCCTTGGCAAGACACAGAAGCCCTTTGCTGGGTAACCCACGACAGGACAAGAGGGCTGGCAGCACATGAGCAGCTGCCTAACGGAGCCAGAGGAGGTTGATGCTGGTCAGATCTCAGCGTGCAGAAATGGAGAGACAGGAGCAGACTCACCCCGGAGGCAACGTCAGGGAAATGGAGATGAAAATCAGCCCGCTGAGCATCGTCCCTCTGTGGCGCAGCTAAATGCAGGAGGATGCCTTTTTAATGCAATGTGTAATTAGAGAGTGTAAGTCACAGCCAAAAGATTTTATTGAGCCACAGGATTCGACATTTGCATGAGTAATAACAGTGGCCACCGCTGCATGAGCTGCTTGGGATTGGAGCCCCAGCCGCTCCGCCTTGGATCTGGTCGGCAAGGGAAGCGCTCCCAAAGCTTCCCTTTGCTGCTGAATGAAAAGGTGCTCTGCAGAGATTAAAATGCGTTTATTATTTCACAGTCTGGTATTTACATCCCATCTGGAGCAGGTATCACATCTCCTGTTACAAAAGCATCTACATGAGGAGTCCCGCCAATGGCAGGCACCAACCCCTGGCCCCTCCGGAGCCATCGTGTCCCCTGGAGTCTGCAGCCCTGCGGATGTTGGGAGCATGGAGCTCCCATCATCACCCCCTCGAGCTGCCACGGCAGGGGAAATGGGGAGTCCTGCAGAAGGGCATGAGCTCAGAGGCAGGAGATGGTACAATTGGAATTAACACAACAAACCCTGGATCAGTGTGGGGCTCTGAGGCATCTGCAGGGTGTCAGGCACCCCCAGCCCTGCACACAGGAGTGGGCTTCCCTGCACATGAATCTGAAACTCAATTGCAAACACAAGCAGTAATTTGGTGCCTGGGACTTGCAGGGTGTGTTACAGTCCTGGCCCCATTAATGCAGTTCCCGAGGAAGGGGTACCCAGCAGCATGCTCATGGAGACATTTCACCATCTCCAGCGGATGATGGGGTGCCGGACCCCCCCCAGCCCCACCGCCACATCCACCATGCATGGTCACAGCAGGCAGGAGGTGAGGAAAGCACCGTGCTCCAGGGCTCAGCACACCCCAACTTGAGATGAGGGCAGAGCTCAGCGCCTGCTCCCGGGCACCCAGCAGCCATGAGCCAGGAGGGACAGGATGTCACACAGCCATTGACTTCCCAATTCCTGAAGGCAACCTCATTCAGCATCTTGGGAGAGGGGGAAAGGCGACTCAGCAATGATTTCAGCTATTTCAGAGTAAAGCCCGTTATGGGGGCCTGCTGTCTGTCTGTCTTTCTACTGTCAACAGCTCTTACATGTTTGCAGTATTTTAGCTAAGAGGATAGGAAAATGAGCCCATTTCTTGGTTGGTGATTGTGTCCACGGGAGAGGAAGGGACCATGGAGTGACACAAGTCTTGCAGATGCACTGGGGTCCCATACTCGCAGCCTGTTGGGAAACTAGGACTCAGTGGACTTCTGATGCGGTACCTGGCAGGGTCCCACCAGCAGATGCAGGACGGCAATCCTGGAGCATCCTGCCTCCATGGGTCACATCCTGCTGCTCACGGCTCTGCAGAGCACCGGGGACCTGCACCAAGGCTGGTTAGCTGCTGCTGAGGGCTCAGAGGCTATCGTGTGACCTGCGGGCACAGGAGAGCAGAGAGGCAGGAGCCTGCTGATGGAAACAGTTGAGCTGTTTGCAGCAGGCGATAGGGACCTGCTCAAGCAAGTCCAGAGGAGGCCATGGAGATGCTGCGAGGGCTGGAGCAGCTCTGCTCTGGAGCCAGGCTGAGAGAGTTGGGCTGGGGCAGCCTGGAGAAGAGAAGGCTCCTGAAGGGGAGACCTGAGAGCAGCTCCAGTGCCTGAAGGGGCTGCAGGAAAGCTGGAGAGGGGCTTGGGACAAGGGATGTAGGGACAGGCCAAGGGGAATGGCTTTAACCTGCCAGAGGGGAGACTGAGATGAGCTCTTAGGCAGAAGCTGAAGGGTGCTGAGGCGCTGGCACAGGGTGCCCAGAGAAGCTGTGGCTGCCCCATCCCTGGCAGTGTTCAAGGCCAGGTTGGACACAGGGGCTTGGAGCAAGCTGCTCTAGTGGAAGGGGTCCCTGCCCATGGCAGTGGTTTGGGACTGGAGGAGATTTAAGGTCCCTTCCAACCCAAACCATCCTGAGATTCAGTTCTATGATTCTCCCACCCACAATTTGTCAGTGAGCAGCCTTAGGGGATGAAAATGTGATTTATTCTTTCATTCATTCCAAATTTCAGCTTATGGATGATTGGTAAACCCCGTGCTCTGGCTGCAGCTTCCGCAGGGGTCTGTCTGCAGAGGGGACTGGGAGTGGCACATCCAACCTCCTCAGCACAGCACCCAACGGAGCACCCAAACTCTCCAAAGGCCTTCCAAAAACATAGGTCTCCATTTCCAGACCACCACTGCACTGGGGCAGGGCACCGGGGCAGGGCACTAGGGCAGGGCAAGGGACCCAACTGAGTGCTGGGAGGATGGCCATGGAGATAGGGCTGCTGGACAAGGAGGGAGAACAGATGCTCTGGGACCCTGCAGGTGGGAATGGTCCCAACCAAGAGGCCAGGACCACAAAGGCTTTGGGCTAAATAAGCAGCTGAGGGAAAACCCCCAAATTCTAAGATGGGAAAAAGACAATGAACTACGTGTAACAGTGCAGCTGCTGGTCAGTGCTGGATGCCCAGGGCCAGAGCAATCGCCTTGGATGTCTATAAAAACACTTGAGCATGAAAGTGCTTTCTGTGCACAACAGCAATAGCAATAATGAAACGAAACCCAACATCACTTACTACGATAATTTTATAGCAGGGGATGCAGGGTGAGAAAAACCAAAGCATAAGGAATAAAAAAAGGTATAAGTCAACAGTATGAACAATGATTGCAAAATTACGCAGCTGATTAATCACGGCATATATGTAATTACTAATGAGTCTGATAAAATTTTAATTACACCTTGTTCTTTGGGGCATTCAGCAAGCCATGAAAATAATAATCACGTAGCGTTGTCACAGATGATCGCCTCAGATGGGGGAGTGAAGATGGGTTCAGGGCAGTGCCACAGGGCTGGGATGAGCAGCCAGCTACCCCGGAGCAATGGGGAGATGCTGGGGAGCGGCCAGGATGGACCAGCAGCCCTGGGCTGGTATAGAAACATCCCAGCTTGTCTGCCTATGGGCTGAGGGTGTAAACCCCTCCTCACTGAGCCTCTCCACGGAAGAAATCTGGCCCACAAGGGCACATAAGGACAGGTCAAGGGGAATGGCTTTAACCTGCCAGAGGGGAGGCTGAGATGAGCTCTTAGGCAGAAGCTCTTCCCTGTGAGGGTGCTGAGGTGCTGGCACAGGGTGCCCAGAGAAGCTGTGGCTGCCCCATCCCTGGCAGTGTTCAAAGCCAGGTTGGACACAGGGGCTTGGAGCAAGCTGCTCTATGGAAGGGGTCCCTGCCAGTGGCAGGGGTTGGGAGCTTTGAGGTCCCTTCCCACACAAACCATTCTATGGTTCTATGATGAGTTCTTGATCAGCAAAGCTGTGGGACCCGCCTGGGGTTCGTGCTACCTCCACCAGCCCCTCCAGCTCCGGTGACAAGAGCCCAGCCCAGCCTCTCTGCTCTGCTTCAGTGCATCCATAACAAACTCCCCACAACTTCTCCAGCACAGGCCCTGGAGAAGCCAGAGCTCTCCCCTTCCCCTTTGGGGATGCTTTCCTGGGTTTTGCTTACCTCAGGTTTAGGGAAAGCAGAGCCCGGCTCCCCGCAGCCCCTGCAGGGGACGTACCTTGGTTGTCTTCACTTTGTTGCCGCTACTGCAGCTCCAGCCTGAGAGGTCGGGCAGCACCTTGCACTCCTCGCCGTCGAGGCAGGGCTCCATCTGGCACCACCACTTCTGCAGCACGATGGAGGCTGTGGGGAGAAGGGTGTCAGTGCCAGGGGTGAGGGGCACAGTGACCCTGCTGAAGTCATCGCTTCACTTGGTCCAGCTGCTTCATCAGCCACTCAAACACTCTGTTCTCTCACTACTCTAGGTAAGAAGCCTAAGGACAAGCCCTGACTCCCAGCAAGAGCAAGGAGAGCAGTGCTGTGCAATAACCCACTTCAGGCTTCACTTACGGAGGCAAAGGGACTGCCTACTACCACACTGCTCTGTTAGGCTCTTGAAACCTCCACCTCCAACATGGGTAACTAGAGGAGGCTCTCTTACATTTGGGAACAAGAACACACAGGCTGCTTGGGACAACAAAACCCTCCCCTCACAATTCATCCAGGCATTTTCTGATGCCATACACAACCACACTCAGGACACTGCTGTCAGGTGAATCGATAATGTGCTGGCAGAGGCTGCAGCTCTTCAGTGATGCCACTGAATAGAATACACATGGTTTGAGCTTTGCTTATTGCTCCTCACAGGTGATGGTGCTGCAAGGCTGGAGTGATATCCCTGCTGCTGGCTGCAGCAGTGTGATGAGCAGACAAGCAGGGATCAATGCTGCAGTGCCAGGACCCGGCGCAGTGATGCACCAGAGGAGCTCGAACCACTGGAGCACCATATCCCCCCCATGGCACGCAGCCTGGGGCTGCATGGAGTGGGTAACGCAGCCACATCAATGAAGAGTGTCCCCAGAACGCTCCCTTTTCCCCCATTCTCCACTGCAGGAGCCCCAGGCAGCTCTCTGCTGTTAATCCCAAGGGCACAGAAACCCCACACCAGCCTAACCGATGGGGAAGGTGCAGCCAGAGATGGCACAGGACCTGGCCATCACCATCTCGTACTCACCATCCACACAGGAGGGAGCTGCCCGTGTCGTCCCTGCCACCTGGCCCGGGAAGCAGGAGCATTTCACCGTCTGGGAGCGCTCCTCGATCTTGTTCTTGTTGCAGCACCTGTGAGCTGCAATGACCTCGCATGTGCCGGGCTCTACGTGCACTGCGGGAGGAGAAACAGCCCCTGTCAGCTGGGGCAGTGCCCTAGAGCCCCCAGCACACCCCCTGCTCCCTGCCCCGGTGGGAGCCAGGCACTTCAGAGCTGTCCCAGCCTCCAGCGGTCACCCAGGGATGCTGATGACACACACCCAGCTCGGCCCAGCATCGCTCCAGCCCACCCTTAGGGAGAAGCACTGGTCCTGCTCCAGACCTCCGGTGTTTGAGCTCGTCCTCGCAGCCCCCACGCCTGTCCTGCCCAGCCTCTTGCCACAGCCAAGCCCAGAGCTTGATTCAAATGAATAAGCAATTAGTTAAGTGCAGCTGAGAATGAGCCGCACACTTCGCTACAAGAGGGAACGAAGTGGTGTGCTGCCTTTGGCTTCAGGGTACCACCACCTCCAACCCCAGCTAAAACCAATGCTCCTTGTCTCACCATCACAGCCCACCCTCCGGCTGGAGGAGGGAGGACCAGGATGCGTTTCTGCCCTGCAGCAACAGAAATGTCAGTGTTCATCAGAAACCCAGGCTGCCCTGCTGCTCCCCTTCCCAGTGCCATTAAAATATTAAGGAAGAAAGAAAACCAATGTGTTGGCTTATCACCTCTGGGATCTGGGTTTAGAAGCTTGTTAGCATCACAAATCAATGACTTTCGCTCACACAAGCACAAGGCACATTACCCAAACAGGGCTGAATAGGCTCATTCCCATGACCTGAGAGTGGGTGATCCCTCCAGGTCCTGATTAATGAGCACAGGAGGGAGGGTTAGAGACAACCTCTGGGTTGCTGGGAGCAGGCTTTTGTTTCTGCAGCGAGCAGGAGCCCAGGCTGCGAGGAGGATGGGGAAGCTGCGTGTCTGCAGCCTGCCATCCCCAAACGCCTGCAGACAGGAGCATCGGGACATCAGACCTGGCTGCTCCGCACCCACAGCCCCATCCACCCCCAGCAGCCGCAGGAGGATAGGGCTGGGATAGGGGTGCAAGCAGGACACGCAGGGCACTGGGGAGCAGAGTGGGTGCTGCTGCTGGTGCAGGGACCCACAAGCTCTGGCAGTTGCTCCAACCCTGCCCATCCAAGCCTCAGCTCCCAGCTCTGCTTCATCCCCAGCCACAGCCGGAGGGGCCTGCAGGGGTGCCCATCCACCCTCAGCACCCTAAAGCAGGGTTAGTGGCCCCGGGTAGGAACCGTGCTCACCCGGACATCTCCCGTCTCCCTTCTGGAAAGCAGCCACTTCACCTCCTCGAGTGAAAGCTTAGGAAATGGGATCTGTCTCCAGGCGCTGGGGGAATCCCTCTGCCCGGCAGCTGCATTTTCACGTTCCCAGAGGAAAACACTGATCCAAGGGCCGCCTCCTGGCTCGTGTCAAGCAGGCACGGCCACATGGATTTCTAGCCAAAGCAGCGCTTGTCCCTTTCCTGCTCCCAATGCTGAGCACCAACCGGGAGATGAAAGGGCAGGATGCAAGGAACCATGCCAGGATTTGCTCTCCTGCGATGCCACCAGCCCGGGGCCACAGCAGACGCTCATTGCCAGGCAGAACAACCACATTCTAACATGAACATGGGCAGTGACACCACAGCTCATCCCTCACAGCCCACTGCGTCAGGGAACCACACACCCCCGTGCCCTGCACCCGCCGGCACATGGGCAGGATGGGCCACGCAGTTACCATGGCTTTAATTTGCCTCTATTATTTCATGGTCATTTTCTTTTAATGAACCATCACTCTCATTTCCACCCGTAATAATTACACAATTACCTATCCTGGAGATATTTCCTAGTAGCATCTCTGGCCATAGATTTTATCCTCCCTTCTAAATGCCACCATAATTCAGCTTTAATGATTATTTCTATTCTTCTTTAATGCAGAAAGGATAGGCTCTGGTGAAAGTGAGAGGGAAAGCAACTCATTACAGAACAAACATGAATGTTTTGCCCTGGTTTTATCATTATTAGGCTTTTTCAAAGGATCCGAGCACCGAGCAGAGGTCCTTGGCTTTGGCTGGCGATGAACCCACATCCCCACCACGCTCTGGTGCAGGACCACGAGGAGTCACTCACCCACCCTGCACACCCCTCCAACAGGGGATTTTATACCCTTGAGCTTCACATGCCGTTGTGCTTTTGACTCGCTTCTGCAGGAGCTCCTCCACAAAGCTTCATCAGCAGAGCTCTTCCCAAAAGGAAGGGCCACCGACCCCTCTGCTCCCCCTCACTTCTGCTCTTGGGCTTCTCCTTTTCAGCTAATTTAAGAGGGCTCAGCCGAGGGAGGGTGATGCAGAGCTGAGGAACGGCTCCTTCCAAGCGTGCAGAGGGAGTTTGCCAACGTGCCAGAGCCCTTTCCATTTGCTCAAAAAGGTGCAGCATGGAGATAAAGAGAAATCTGCCTTTCCTGCAGCTGGCAGAGCACAGCACCATCAGAGCCCATCCTGCTCCACACCCGCTGCGTCCCTGCAGCAGCACCAAGGAACGCAGCAGACTGGGGGTGTGCAGGCACACACAAGATGCTCCCACCAGGACAGATGGACATGGCCCATCTCCAGCTTGTGCCTCGTGCAGGGCACACCATGCAGGGAAGGCAAAACCCACGGCAGAGGAGAGATGCTCTCACTGCTCACGGGCTGTGTCAGGGATGCAGGTCAGCCCTGCAGCACGGGCTCTGCTGCTGGCAACGCTGGGGCAGCAGCATGCACCCCCAGGACCTCCATGGCCTCTCCACATCTATGAAGTACTTTCATCTGCTTGAAGGTCCTGTGGGCATCCTGCCCTAGGACACATCCGTGTTGGAAACCTGTCCTGGGCATTTCCCTCCTGCACAGAGCCCTCCAGTCAGCAGCCACAGCCTTAGGCACAGCCACAGGGTATGGGGCATCTTCTTCGCAAGTGACTGCTGCCCATGGAGCTGCAGGCTGCCTTTGGGCAGGAGGGACAGCCCCATGGGGAGCAGAAGAGCCACCCTGCTGGTGTCAAACATCCCAGTGCCCTGCACACCAGATTCACTCACTTCTCTGCTCCTCAACCCCACCAAACACCAGCGCCACCAACTGACACCAGAGCAAGCGCAGGAGTTTCATAGAGTCACAACCTGGTTTGGGTTGGAAGGGACCTTAAAGCTCATGCAGCAGGGACCCCTTCCACTAGAGCAGTTTGCTCCAAGCCCCATCCAACCTTGCTTTGAACTTGGAGGGCTGTAACCGGATGGACACACATGAATCCCTCCGCATCAAATACGGAGATTCCCAGGATGTCAGCAAGAGGCTCTGCGTTTCCTCATGCAGAGATGAGCAGCCCGTGCCCAGGGCTCCTGCCATGCTGGCTTCCATATCACACAGCTGGGAAGAGCAAGCAGAAAGCAGTGCAGGGCAAGCGATGGGCTCCTCCAGCTGCAGCTGCTGCTCCTTTCGCTGAGCAGCAGGAACCTTCAAGCCAGATAGGACTCAAAATGCAAGTCGGATGGATGGTGTGTTTCAAGCCAAGAGCAGGAAACCCCCAGGGAGCCTGGGATAAGATCCAGAGCTTCTGGCACGCTTGTCCCTCCCATTCAACTGGTATTTCCCCACTGGAACCCTTCTTAAAAAGAATCTGATCTCACGGAGCCATAAAAGCATCGTAAGAGCACAGGGCTTCTGAACCCCGCATGCGAGTAAAACAAAAGTGCTGTCCTATTCTGGCTGACCTTTAAGTGAGCAGCAGAGCCTGTTTTTTTTTATGGTATATTGTGAAAGGACACGTTTTGTGTGTCTCAGGGAGGTGTGGGCAGAGCTCCACAGGTTCAGGGTAAAGTATCACTGCACTTGCTGGTGGGGAGTCGTAAACTGAAGAGGAGTTGAATGCATGTAACCATCAGGTGATGGGCAAACCCTCTGTGCCAAACCCCTTCCTTCTGCGTACTGCAATGCCATTCAAGGCATCCAGATGTCCCAAGGGGGGCTCAGCAGCACAGCAGGGACAAGCAGAGGGTCCAGTCCCCAGTGGGCTCTGCTCAGAGGGCAGCACAGCCCTGAGCATCCAACCTGGGCACCAGCAGCACGAGTGATCCATGCCTCACGCCCCATGACAACTCTACTAATATTCACTAAATAATTCAAGTCTTAAACTCACTGCTGCCCTAAATGCAGATTTAAGAGAGGTTTGGAGAAAAAGCAGGCTTGTTTTTATTGCTCATTACCACTGCGTGTCAGTTGGGATCGTCTACTACCTTGTCACCTCAAGACTCCACGTCATGCTCTGTCCCCTTCCCTCGCATGTTTGAACGCGTGCACATCTATGAACTGCTCAAATCCCATCCCTTCACACTTGGAAACGCCTGGGCTGCGTGGAGAACAGCTGCAATGCTTTGCCACTGTATGGACCACTGTGGTCAGGGGATACAGCTCCCAATACACAGCCTGCCTCCCCCTGCACAGCTCCTGCCTCATCTGGGGAAGATGGCTTAGAAAAGTATTCCCTAGTGAGGTAAAGGCTGCACACGATGGAGGAACCAACACGACTTCAAGTGTGAGGGAATCCTCATAGAATCCTGGAATGGTTTGAGTTGGAAGGGACCTTAAAGAACTTCTTCCTGAGATCTCATCTCAGTCTCTGCTCTGGCAGGTTAAAGCCATTCCCCCTTGTCCTGTCCCTAGAGGCCCTTGTCCAAAGCCCCTCTATGAAAGGGGATTCTATGAAAGTGCATTCCTTTACCAAAACCTGTCCCAGATGAACCAAAAGCCCAGGGCAGACAACAGAAAAACACATCAGGCAGCTGAAGGATTCCTGGTTTGAGCCCATGGAAATGCAGATTTGGTCACTGTGGATGGGCGAGCGAAGAACCCCCAGCTCTGCCTGTGCGCACGGGAACACACGAGCCCATGTCCTCACGTACGGAGTGAGATTTCTCCATCATTCACATCCCACGAGTGCACTGGGGCATCTGAACTTTAATCCAAGGTGAGCTGCAGCTTTTATCCATGCCAGGTCTGACTCTTCCCTAAAGCAGCATCTCCCTGCACATGGCCCCTCCAGGGATGGAGCAGGGCTCTGCGGCCCCAGACTGGGCACACTGGGTGCCAAAAAGTCCTTCTAGAAACCACTGAGGAGTTTTTATCTCCTCACACCCCCGCTGCAGGTTAGCAGGAGGGGAAGGCAGGTACCTGCTGACTGCCTGGCTGAGGGAGGCGTTTGGGAAGGTACGTTTTGGTTTTAAGCAGTGAGGATGGGGATTATAAGATTAGAACTGCTTTAACTGCCAGGCAAAAATGAGAGAACTGGGACAGGGTTTGGTGTGGGTCAGGCAGGGGCAGCAGGAATTGCACATTAACCCTTCGACACCTTCGTCTGCAAGCAAAGGCCCAAGAGGCAGGCAGCATTGCCCAGGATTGCTCCATACTGCATTGCTGCATCCACTCCATCCTCCCACCGTGCACTCAAGCAGAGGAACTCAGCCCTGGACCACCAACTCCACCCCCTGCTGAGGCCCATCAAGGCTCCAGCTCTGGCACAAAGGGCTGAGCACGGCTTCTCAGCTGTTTCCCGTCTCAAAACACACACTGCAAACGGGGGCTCATGTAACCCCTCCAAAAACCCCATCCACCACACAGAACAGCATTCCAGACACACAGAGCAGGGTCCAGAGACCACCGTTGGGAAAGACAGATTCACACCCAGAGTAAAGGCTACCTTTTCCAGCAAGGCTTTCAGTTCTACATCAGTTTTTACCTGTCCCATGTTTCGAAGTGATCTTTAAAACCAGATGGCTGAAAATCTGTATTTCTAAGGAAAGCCTAAAGCGGAGAGTTTGTGACATTCACTGCGCCTTATCTAAGAGGGAAAATTCACATCTCCCTGCCCACAGATCACGAATTACCTCGATAATGACCTAAATACATAGATGGGCCTCAGACTTCACACGATGCACACAGCCAGGACGTCGCTTCCCCTACCTGAATGGCTTCTGTGATGGGTGGAGGCCAGCGTCAGTCTTCCCCACAGCGTGGTAAGGCAGAGAGTGAGCACGAAAACCCATTTGCTCAGGCTCTGGAGGTCTCTCTCACTCATTCTACCAAAACCAAGAAGAGATGCACGAGGGAAGGGTTGGGGCTGAGGAGGGTTGGGAGGTGCAGCCCCCACTCACCGAGGCTGCTGCATGTAACGCTGCAGCCCCAAGCACCCACAACCACAGGGACCTGGCTGCAGGACACACACCCAGGGCTCACCCATCACCCCTGGATGGGCTTGGGCTTCTACAGCAGCACGGCCATGGCAGAGGGACACTAAGAAATGAACCAGCAGCAGCACAGATGAGCAATAGTTACCTTTTACTGGGCATTCACAGCATCACCTGCACATCTGCCAACCCAGCGTGGGTCAGGTCTCTGCAAGGGGCAGACATCAGTGCATCTGAAAGGAGAAAGAGAAATGGGGTGGTGATACCTGCTGGAAGTGTGTGGGGAGTGTGAACCACTGTGTGCAATGGGAATGGCTGGGGATGCCCCAGGGCTTGGCTGGCCCTGTATCAGCTCATGTGCACACACAGGCCCATTGCACACACCAAAACCTTCCTGGGAGCTCAGCCCATAACCCTGCTCACCACCTTTGAACTGTGCAGCTCCATCTGCTTCAGAGTCGTTGCTCTTGAATTTCACTGCTGACAGTGCAAAATCGTGCTGTCAATATATATCAATGACAGAAAATCGACATAGTACATTATGAATACAGATCACAGACACTAAAAGCAGACTCAGGGTGTGTGGGAAGAGCCAGACTAAATCAACAGTGAGTCATTCCAGGTATCGCCTTTTCCATGTGTGACACCGTCTTTGTCCTGGTGTCACTGAGGTCCCTTGCAGTGACACCTGAGGTCTGGTCCTCATGCAAACCACTCATCAGCAGACAGATGGATGCAGTGAGCACAGTGGGTGTCCCAGAGCTCAGCAACCATCCTGCTTGGCACCACACGAGGAACCAAGGAGCTGGGGAGCTGATGTCTGGGTGGCACCAGGACCCATACCCCGTGTCCCAGCACAACACCATCATCTGGGGCTGCTTCTCCTGTCAGTAATAACTTCAAAGCTCATAAAACCACACAGACACAGAGCTGCAACCACTACCTCTGAGCATGCCTGGTCCCCAGTGACCCCCTCCCAAGCCACAGAGGATGTGCTGGGAAGGAGCCGAGATTTACATCATCTGGAGCCATTAAGGGAAAATGTAAAACCCCAAAGACTTGGTATTTTACTGTTGACTGCTTTAAATACGCTCCCTGCACTGTTTATCAGCGACAGCCCTGCAGGTGGGAACGGCTCTGGGGCCCTGCAGGCAGCAGCATGAGCAGTAACAGCTTCGGGAGCAGCATCTCTGCTCAGCATCTGCCTAGTGAAGTGACAGCCTCCCAGCCTCCCTTATCTCCTGCTGAGATCTGACTGGGTCCAGGGCAGGTAACCGTGCCCCCCATAAAACTGCAGTGCTGGAGCACAATTTATTAACAAGAGGCCATAAAGACAAGTGACACCGAGGTTCAGGAGTGCTGCCAGCACCTCTGCTCTGGAGCCAGGCTGAGAGAGCTGGGCTGGGGCAGCCTGGACAAGAGAAGGCTCCTGAAGGGGAGACCTGAGAGCAGCTCCAGTGCCTGAAGGGGCTGCAGGAAAGCTGGAGAGGGGCTTGGGACAAGGGATGTAGGGACAGGCCAAGGGGAATGGCTTTAACCTCTACCCACCAGCATCAATGCAGGCAGCGAGGGCAGTGTGGGATTCCCGGCAGGCACCAGGCTGTTGGGAGGATAAATCTGGAATTTCCAACCATCTCCTCAATTTCTATCTGCTCTGGCCCAGGCTGAGACAGTGAAAGAGGCTCATAATGAAGGACCAGAACAGGAAACGCTGACGTTTTTAATCAAAACCAAGTGATTTGAAGTGGTAAAAGGGCATTTCTTGTTTTGAAGCATTTCAAAGCGAATTGTTCTGGTTTAAACTGGCATTTTGAAATAAAAAATGTTTTGTTCCAAAATGCTGATTTCAAGTGAGATTTTTCATTTTGATTCTCCCAGCTGGGGGAGGGGAGGAGAGATAGAAAAATGCATCAAAAATATTGACATTTGACCAGGAAAAAAAACCCAACCAACCAATAAAAGAGAGAAAGGGGGAAAGGTGTCTTACCAAACCCACAGGATTTATGCTAGGAAAGAACGTAGATGGAAGCAAACACTCTTCATTAATGCTATGGAACAGTCGGCATGGCCAGGAGCAGAGCATGGCTGGGGAGGACATGGACACGCAGGCATCCCGTTCACCCGGCTCCATCCCTGCCCACCGGTGACAAGGTGACAAGGGACTGACCCCGCTCCAGCACGACCCTCTCTCAGGCTACACCCCACACAGCCCCAGCCCTCTGTGCATCAGCAGAATGAAGCCGAGAGGGCTTCATGTGCAAGGAAACCAGCACTCCTTGAAGCAGGCGAGAGTTGATGCAATGACACCGTGCCAACTCCCCCGTGTAAAGCTGTATTTAGGCAATTCCCGGAATGTGGCCTTCCTCAGAGGGGGAATCTCACACAAGAGCCTGCGCTGCTGGAGTCCCTTCAGAGATGCCACAGCCCATTGTGTACTGATGGCAGCTTAGAAAGCATGCTAATCCCTCTATGGGAAAGTAAAGAGCTCTCAGAGCTGCTCAGCCCCTCACTGAAACCCAGGGGCACTGTGTGCATCAGTGCTCAGCACCGCGGCACGATGCCCCCCTGCACAGCGCAATCCCCCCTGCCACGCTAGACCAGCGGAGCCAGGGACATGTGCCACAGCCCACATCTGTCCTGCTGCACGAAGGGGCACAGCTGGCAGCCCCGATGCAAGGACAGCAGACACGGTGCTGGCACCAGCTTTCTGCATTGTTTGCAGCAGGGAGCATTGGATGCCAACACACATCCCGTGCAGCTTCCAGCAGAGCGGCCAGGTCCCATGGGAGCTCAGCTCACATCTGACATCCCGGTCTCCCAGCTGCTGCTCCAGCTCCCCCTCTACATAAGGCATACAGGGAGCACAGCCACACTTCCAGGCATGAGCACTGAGCCCCCACAGCCCACCCAGAGCCGCTCTGGAAGAGCCCAGCTCCTTCCCATGGGACCCTCCGGATCACTGAATTCTCCAGAATCATAGAATGAGCCACAGAACGGTTAGGGTTGGAAAACACCTTAAGACTACCTAGATCCAAACCCCCTGCCATGGGCAGGGATGCCTCACACTAGAAGGGGTGCCTCCAGGAGCCATCAATCCCCAAATCCCTCGGCAGGACCAGAAAGCAAGCAGCCCACTGGCTGCCTTCATCCCACCCGGGACAGGGCTGCACTCCCAGCACAGCCTATGTTTAGCTCAGAAGGGCTGAGCTGTTTGCTCGAGCCAAGGAAGCATGAATAAATCACGGCGCTATCAAGAATGCAGCCACGGTGTCCACGCCGTGCTCAAGGGAAGCTGCTGCGCCGAGCGGGAGCCGAGCCGGCGGCTGGGGACAGCACCCGGGGTAATGAGGAGCACGGGGCCAGGAGGTGCCACGGGAGGGATGCTCCTCACCCGGATCCACGCTGGCACAGGCGCTCAGCGCTCCCACTCCAGCACAACCTCCCATCAGAAAACAGAGCTCCACAGAAATTGCTGTTTTGACAGTTATCAACCTCCACCGTTGTGAGACTCCAGCTGCAAATGTTTGGTCTGACGTGCTGGAATGTCATTCTGAAATGAAGAGTGGCGTTCTGGCACATCAAAGCACTTAATTTTGATTGAAAATATCAGGATCCTCTATTCCATCGCGTTCTGTTTGGAGTTTTGTGGAATTTTCCGTTAACATTTTGTAGGTAATTTCCACCTTTTGGGTCTGCGCTGGAACCTGAAGTAACCCCACAGGGCCTAAATCACTCAGAAGATAAACTGCAGTCCTAACCAGCATGGCAAGAGATGACTGCTCCTCTGCATGGGCCCACGTCCCTCCCCATGGGCACACATAGACATGGGCCATCACCTGCATCTGAGCCTCATAGAGGTTCCCCAGCACAGAGACACACCAGAAGCAGCCCTCCCAGCACCCAACCCCTCTTTTAGTCACAGGAGCTGGAGGCTTTCTCCTCCTCCTTCATTGAGGCCCCAGGTAGAGCTGTGACCCCGCAGCCAGGACGGTGCCATCGCAGCTCGGCTGGAACGCAGCCGGCACCCGCAGTGCTAATGAGGGACTTTCTGTCAGGCCAGATTATGCTCCAAGTCCTGCCAGTCTGGAGCATTGTTTGCAATGGTCCATGGGAGCTGGATGATTACAGTGAGCACTAAAATGTTCCACCCAAAAAGAGAAGCAGAGAGAGATGGGGGAGGCCAGCACAGCGGCTGGTTTCCTATGCCAAGTGACACAAGCCCTCCCCGCTGCAGCTCCTGCGCTGTCAACCTTTGTGCACATCTGGCCCTGTACTCCTGCCACTTTGCCAGAAGCTATTTTCATACTCCTGCTATTTCAGCACTTCTTGGAGTTGGGTCGCTTCATTTAGTGCGAGAGGTGCAGGCTTTGACCCACAGAGCACAACCCAGGGCTCTATGGTGCCCTGGAGCCCAGGCGCAGTGGGGAGGGAAGCTGAGGCACAGAAACCTTCCCACATGTTGGAGATGTCACAATGCACGCTGAAAGGGGAGAGGTTATTTTACTGCTTCCCTGAAGCAAGAAGTCTCAGCAAACACCCCAAAGTGAAGGAGCAGGGGACAGGCTGCACACCCAGCCCCTGACCACCCTGCGCACGGCTGCCTGCAAACCTCATGACACTCGTGGCCAAGATGAACCCCCCTCATACAAGAGGGAGGGCTGGGCCCCCAGACCGCTCTGTTCTGTGCCCACGGGCACTGCCCAGAGGAAAGGGGTCCTTCCCTCACCCCGAGGCACAGCTCCATGGGCTGCACAAGAGGCGATGCTCGCGGCACAGAGAGGCTGCTGAGTCTCCCGAGAAGCTGATGCCTCCCTGAAAGATCCTGACAAGCAAGGAGACACCTCCACAGTCCCCAGGGAAGGAACAGCACAGGCTCCGGTGTGGTTCTGTCTCCAGCAGCCAAAGAGAAGGCAAAAGCAGCAGGGAAGGGCTGGCAGAGAGCATTTCCCTTCTCCAAAAGGCTGGAAAATCAGCTAAAAGCTGGATCCTCCACCCCGGGCTGATGAGGAAGTGCTCAGACACGCACAGGCTGTGAGGTTTCGGCCCAGGATCTCTGAGACACTGCTGCTGCCCATCCTGAGAACAAGCTGCAGGGCTGGGGTGTCCCTGGGGAGCCTGGTCAGCAAGATGCTGCCATCCCCTGAGCACAACTGCAGCAGCCACCTCCACATCCACTGCTTCGGGCTCCTAGTGCAGGGCAGGAGATTGGCCAAACCCTGCTCCCTCTGCAGTGCTGAGGATGCTCAGTTACAGGTAAAGCTGGGGAGTCAGAGCTACAATAGCCATAGCTCTGGGACAGCACCTAGGAGGCTGCATCCCCCCTTGGACCTGCACTGATGAGAGCTTCATGCAGTGATTCCTGCACCCTCCCATACTCTGTGCTCCCCAAACACTGCGCTGCTCTTCCCCAGAGGAAAACCTGCTGCAGGGGAGCCTGACCCAAGCCCAAGAGCTCTAGGTTGAGCGGAGTCCTTTCAGCTCTTACTTGGGTGCACTTAGAGCAGTCCAGCCCCACAGATGTTCTAGTGAGGGCAGCATGAGGCAGGTGCCCTCCAGGGCAAAGAGGAGACCTGGGAGCACACAGAAACACAGAGGGCTCCTTCCCCCCAAGTGTGCTCTTTTGCACTCTCCTCTGTGATTTATTTCCATCTCCTTGCTTATTCCTCAAGCATCTGCAGCATTTCCTTCCCAGCCAAGGTGAGCAGGAGAGTTTTTAGCTCTAATTCCAGCCTGGCATGGCCCTGTTCCGGCTCCCTCGCTCGGTGAATCCCACCACCCCGCTGCCTTTGACAGCTCGAACCTCAGACTCATCAGTGCCAGGAACCTCCCTGGCAGAGCATGGCTGCTCCTCAGGGGTGTCGAAACCCAAGGTCAACAGCAGCTCAGTCTTCTCAGGGGAGGAAAGCAGAGGGCTTGACAGCTCAGATTGCTTCCCCTGGGCTTTCAGCATCTCACCTGAGCGGGCTCTTTGCTGGGGTGTGGGTGCCCCAGCACAGATGAGTTCTCACAGGACAAGGGGACCTGCACACTGAGTAGCCCCCCAAGCCTCACTCACACTGCATCAAAAGGGAGCGCTAACCGGCAGGAGGAGGAGACTCCTGCTCCCTGCCCAACGCCACAGCATGGATCCACTCCTGCCTGTCTCCAGAATGGGACCGGTACAGATCACCCTCTCCTCTGGGCCACCAAGCATCCCCTTGCACGTGAGGGGGACACCCAGCCCATGAGAGCTGCTCCCCATCCAGCACCCCCACTTTGCTCCAGCCAAGCAAGCCCCACCGCTGAAGGAGTTACAACAGAGAGAAACGAGGTAGAGGAAGACTGAAGCCCACAACCCATCCGTCCTGCCCGAAGCTTCGGCTGCAGGGGCCAGCTTGCACCAAAGGCAGGAAACGGTTGGTCTCGGTTTCCCCTTCCAGGGTGAAGAAGCATTTTTGGCTGCAGTCACCCGGGATCTCTGCAGAAGCAGCTTCGAGGGGGCGGCAGGATCGTGGCCTCGGCCAGAGCTCGCCCCCAGCAGCAGCCCCCAGCCAGATCCAGGTCGGGGCGAGCACCCCCTCTGCGGGCTGTGCCCCCTGCCAAGGGCCGGGCAGGGGCCGGAGATCGCCACTTCTTACGGCATCACCGGTAACCGAGCTCAGCAGGAGCCCGCAGGGAGAAACTTACCGCGAAGACCCACCCGAGCCCCGCACCGAGCCGCCGAGGAGCTCGGGGAGCCTCGCACCGACCGCCCCGGAGGGGAAAGAGAACCCAAACCCGCTGCACCCGAGCGGCGGCCGGGCTGGGAGCGCACCCCGCCGCCGAACGCCGGTGCCGCCGAGCTCCCAGCTCCCCGTGCCCCGGCTCAGCCTCGGTGCCCGCTCGGTAACGGCCCTGCCCCAGCGGGACGGGCGCGGCGCCTTCCCTGGGACCGGCACCGGGCAGGAGCGTGGAGCCCCGCAGGCGCTCGCCGCTGCGCCGCGCTCGGCTCCGGGGGTCACCGTCCCGTCCCACCCCGAACTTTCCGTACCTGCCTGTGCCGTCCGTGCGGGCTGGGGTCGCCGCTGCCCATGGCCGCCGTCCGCCCGTTCCGCCGGGTCGGGTCAGCGCCGCGTCCGCGGGCCGCTGCGGCCGGGGGCCGCTGGCATCGCCGGGCGGCGGCGGCACCGGCAGTGCTCGGGGCTGGGCGGGCGCGGAGCGGAGCGGAGCGGCCCCGGTGCGGTGCCGGTGCCCGCACGAAGGGGCGCAGCGCCGCCTGCCGCCGCCCTCGGGACCCGCACCGTGATCCCGGGCTGCCACCCGGCTCCGCACCAGCCCGCCCCGCCGTCGGTCCCTCCCGGGAGGGCGCTGCTCCGCCCCGATTAGCCCCGGCGTTCATTAACGTAGGACGGGGGGAGGACCGGGCAGAGCTCATTTACATGAAGAAACCATTTTCCGCCCCAAAACAAGGTGTGATGGGCCCGGCGGGCAGCGAATGGTACTGTACGGTGCGAGGACAGACAGAAGACAGGCAGACCGATTGCCAGCCCCGCTTCTTAAACCCGGAGCCTGGCTTCAGCATCACCCACCAAACCCGGAACTTTACAGGAGACAAGACCCGCTCATGTGCCGGTACCGACCTGGTACCTGCAGGACCTGGCACCGGGACCCCAAGCCCAACCCGGGATAACTGTGCTGGCCCTGCAGTCCTCCCGGGACACCCCGGGCTCTAATTGACTGCTCTCACAGCTCTCCCAGCAAACAGCAAAAGCAAGGGCTGATTTTTTTCCCAACAGTTGTTGCCAGGAGTCAGTCCCACGGCCCAGACACAGCTGAATTACACCCAACTCGTTTTCTCTGCTTTAAAACCATTTGTGTACTAATGAAGCCTTTGGTTTTTGAAGCCAGCTCACAGTTTACCCCTGGACCTTTCAAGCCACAGCTCAGCCAGAAGCACCGAGCGATTTCCAAGACCAATCCGAGTTACAGATCAATGGCAGCTCTTCAGATAAACCATGGGTGGGCAGGTTGCAAACATCCCAGCCGTTTTCTTTCCATGAGATCACAGACACCTTCATCCATCCCCTCTCCTGGCTCTGCTCAAAATCCCAGCAAAGTGCCACATTTGGGCTGGCATCACCAGACACCCAGTTTGTAGAACCCCCCCATCGCATCTTAGTGATGAAAACTGGGGAAGGTGCCTCTCCCTTGGTGTATCCACAGCAGAAGCCTAGACTTGTCCCTCTCTAATCTTGGTTTGATTTAGAGCATCCTCAGTTCAGATCAGTAAAACCAATTAGTGCTGGTGAATGCAGAGAGCCAGGCTGGATGGAGATGCCCCAGGTGATCACCAGCTCCTGGGGGACCCACAAACTTGACATCTTCTGTCATCACCCTAAAACACCCGCAGGGAGCCAGAGGAAAGCACCCCAGCTTTAAGAGGCCCATGATAAGAATAGGTTTCTTTGCTGTTTTATCTAAGGCAGCTGAGGCTTTTCCTCCCCTTTATAGAGCCAAGATCTCCACATGTTAAATTGCAATTAATTAGATTTGGTTGCTCAAAAAAGAAAAGGGAAAAGGCTCTACAAGATTAACCCAACCCCCAGCAATAAGATGTTGAGGAAATACAAGCAGGTCCTCCTCCAGAGCAGAGGGTTTTAATAATAATGGCAAAAATCAATATGAAACTAAATTCAATCTGCTGTTTCTATTTGTCAGGTAACTTGATGGAGACTCTGCCAATTCAGGTCTTGATTGCTATGATAAATAAATACAAACATATTAGTTTTCAGATCACAAAGTTTCACGGAAATGAAGAGCAAATGCAATCAAAAGTACCTTTCACACCAGCCAAATTCCAATTAAATGAGGCCAGATTATTCAATAAAGAAGCCTACAAAAATAAAGCTCTTTATTGATGCAATGGTACAGAAACACAAACTTGCTGCTTTCTAGATCATAGCATTTCAATGCAGAGGAAGAATTAAGACTTTGGTAAAACTGATTTCATTCAAATCTGGCTGGAAGACCACAGTAATGCCTTCTCCTGCTGACTTCTTGTTCAACAGTACAGCAGCAGCCTCCAGCATCCCTCTCTGCTGGCGGGGGCTCTTCAACACCCATGTTTTACTGGGAGAGGGGAAGAGGTCTTGGTATCCATAACAAGACAAGTTTGGCAAGGAAAGCAACTCCACTAGAAAATCCTAGCAATGAAAACTGTTGGTACCATGTAAGAACTCATTTTCCCTTAGGCTGGAAGCTGTGGATGTACCTGGAACACTCCTGTGCTCTCTAGATGGCCAAGCAGCTCTTGTTCAGGAGGAAAAACCAAGGTTTAGGACAAAGCCTTGGGTTAGATGCTTACATGAGGCAGATGGGCACGCCAGAAAGACTTTAAATCCTCAGTGCAATCAACTTATCCACAGCTGCTAATGGGCAGAGGCACACGGAGTATTTCATCAAAGCGGGAATAAGCAGAACTGATGCTTTATTCCCAGGGAAGAGTTGTCATTCCCCATCTTCAGTGGGTCACTGAATTAAGATTCAAGCTTCTTTATCCCCTTCCTATGAGGCAGCACCGAGGATTTTGTTCCGTTTTCAAAGGACCTTGCTGACAGTGGGGAATTTCAGTGCGTGACAACACAGCAGCACAGAGGGGAGGATCTCTGGGAAGCCTGAGCATCCCATGGGGCATAGGTCTGAGCTTCCCCGGAAAAATACCCCCCCCAAAGCTCCATAAATTCCTATTAGCCTTATTACCACACATTTATTCTTGTTTCCCTGTATTTCTGCTATCAGGTGATGTGATATAAGAGCAGGAGGCTCAAACCCCTGATTGCAACAGCCTGAAGAGAGGTCACACATCCCCTGAGCTGCAACGTTCCAAAGGCTTTTCTGCCAGGAACAGACATGGGATAAAGATGTGTGGCTGCAATCAAATTATCCCTTCAAAGAAATAACAATAAATTCTGAACTTCCCAATTACAAGGGACAGGCAAACCTTGGAAACCATTAAGAGCTGCTTCTTCTGCTGATGAATTATCCAGAGTGCACAGAGCTATTTGCTGAGCTTCACTGTATTACACTAATTATAAATTAATATATTGCTCATTACACAATAAAGCTGTGCAGACAACTAATGCACTGCTGCAAAGAGCCTATTTTAAAGCATCCTCTGGTACTTTTATGATCTAGATGTTTAATTGACTTCTATTCTGGCTTAAATGCCACCAACATGTCATTCTCTCACAAGGAAATATTCCTGGCTTCATCCTATGTCCTCTGGGGCTCAGGTACATAAAGGAATGATGAAAATTAGAAAAGTTTGGTTTTTAATTCTAAGCATTTGTATGTGAAACTCGGCAAAACAGCATCATTTAAGTCTAACTCCTATGTTGTTGTCTTCAAATTGGTGTTTGCAAGGCAGCATGTAGGCAGGGAGTTATCGGTCCTGGGGCTCCTCATGCACAGCCACTTCCTTCTCATGCACACGCAGATGCTGCCTGGTGCGGTCAGCATCTCTCGCCCTGCACAGGGACAGGGAGAGGCAGGGAAAGGGCTGGTCTTGTCAAAGAAATCAGCTTTCTGAAAGGCCTAAAATCTCGTCTCTAAAGGGAATGGCTTTAACTTGGCAGAGAGGAGACTGAGCTGAGCTCTTAGGCAGAAGCTCTTCCCTGGGAGGGTGCTGAGGCACTGGCACAGGGTGCCCAGAGAAGCTGTGGCTGCCCCATCCCTGGCAGTGCTCAAGGCCAGCTTGGACACAGGGGCTTGGAGCAAGCTGCTCTATGGAAGGGGTCCTTGCCCGTGGCAGGGGTTGGAGCTGGAGGAGCTTTAAGGTCGCTTCCCACACAAACCATTCCACGATTCTAAGAAATAGGATTTTTAATTTGAAATGGGATTTGTAAGATTGCTCCTCCGTTTACATCCCCCCCCCCCCCCCCGAAATTATAAGGAATAATTTTCATTACCATTTTCACACAACTCTATCCAGAAAAGGAAAGATGATATAACCTTATATCTCCTCTATTCTGCATAAGCAAACCCTTGACAATTGAGGGAGAGGAGGACAGGGGCATTTATCCTCTTTCTGGGGCAGGGAGACACCAAGCTGGAGAGGGGAAGGAAACCCCACTGCTCACAGAGGGTGAGCGCAGGCAGGGGGGATGCTTTGGGTGAGACATGGAGGCAGGAAAAGCACAGGCATCCCTGCAGGAACTGCAGGGCAAAGGGCAGAGCTGCCATCATCCAAAGCACCCATTTACTGACATTTGCTCCCCAGGCTCCATCCCAAATGCCCATTTACTGACATTTGCTCCCCAGGCTCATAGTCTCACTCAGCCTGTGACTGTATCTCCAGGCACATGCACAGGGCTTGTTCCAGGCAGCCTTGTGAAGGGGAACCCCAGCCTCACAGACCAGGAAGAAACTTCCCATCAAACGGGCAGGCAATATGAATAGGAGGAAATGTTGCCCTCTTTCTTGGAAAGCTGTTATTAGCATGGCATTGTTGCAGGCAGCATTCTTGCAGCGCGTGTTTGTGTCAGACCATTCTTCCTGTGTGTTGTGCTTTAAGCCCAAGTCGGTAACTCAGAACCAAGCAACCGCTTGCTCACTCCCAGGCTGTGTTTCAACACAGCACTGCACCAGCTACCACAAAGGAGAAAAACAGCCATTACAGCTGAACCCAGGATGCTGCGCAGTGCTTAGCATAAGAGAAGCAACAAATGTCAAACGGTCCTAAGATTCCTATTGGAAACCGCCATTTCCTTCCTCCCAAGGAAAGCATCCTGGTGATTCAGCAGTACGGGGCAGACTGTCAGCCCTAAGGAGACGATAAACATTCCCTGGAAAAGAAAACGGTGATTTCCAAGGTTAACACAAAGGATACTGCACTCCTCTGAGACCCCCCTGTGCCACCAGCAGCAGGACAGAGATGCTGGAAGGGAGAAGACAGCTGGAACAAGGACCAGGCGGCCTGTGCCGCCATCCAGCGCCTTCCCGGCTCCCTGCAGCTCCCGCAGCAGATGGGAGCGTGGTGCTGGCAGCAGAGCAGCTCGCGCAGGAGCACAGAGGAAGCTCTGACCCATTAACATGAGATGCAGTGAAGAAGCAGACGCAGAAGCCAACAACAAATCTGGAGAGGAGCTTTGGGCAAGAGCCTGCAAGGATATAGGACAAGGGGGA